TCCGAGTTGACTCGAGGTGGGTCCGAAACGGCGTGGGTCCGAGTTGGCATGGGTCCGAGTTGGAATGGGTCCGAGTTGGTTTGGGTCCGAGTTGACCTGATCCCGTATTTCCTACAGTCTGACAGTGAGCTATAGTTTTATTAGGTATCAGAAAGCTAAAACTTCCAGGAAAGGTCAATTTAGGAGAGAAAAAGCCAAGTCGTTTACCGAGAAAAAACTTACAACTTTTCATACCAGTCTCATAGAGTTTGTGCATAGGGTGTCAAACTCTTTCCAATTACTTAGAGTTCCATATTGTTGGACCATCCCTAGTAAGCTTAAAAACTGGCCATGGAGATGTGTGTTTAATTGAAGGAGGAATTTTTTTTTTCAAAGAAATGGGGTACATTACCAGGGGAACAAGCTTACAATGCTCGGTAAAATTGTCGGTGTTTATGGTGCCAGAAAATTATGGCCAACATGGCCAACCACATGGTCTGATATGGAATTTGTGACCCACACGTACTGGAAACTGTCAGATTGTCAAGCAATGTCAGTTGGTAGACACTAGTCAGGTGCTAGTCTCTCGTGAACAGGTACTGGTAAATGACATGTAAATAGAATAAAGCTAAGAGAGCAACGGGTACATGTACACGGGGATGTCATAGATGTACCACAACCCAACTACAGCATCAGTTCCAACCATGACCATCCCCTCTGCAGTGCTCCAGTTGGGTTAACCCAACTTTAGTTAGGACGTATTCACCGCAGGGCACTCGCCTCACACCACAGAGATGTGGTAATTGTGTCCGGTCAACACAGAATTCAGAGGCCATGTAACTCCTCCCAGGGAAAAATGCTGCTGTTGTTGCTATTGTTACAAATTGGCTGTTGTACATCTGATCTGTGTTACTGATTTTCAAACATGACAAACCGATCGCTGCAAAGGAAGAAGCAGCTGTTATGGAGTGGTTTTTAGACTACAATTTAGACAATTACAATTACATGTAAACTACATGTATGTCACATTGATGGTGCAGCTGAGGCATTTAATAGTCAGATGCATTCTCCCAAGCCAGTCTTAAAGCATGTTTAAGACTGGCCAAGCACATACACGTACATGTTCCCTTCAAGCTCATTCACAGGGACAAAATAATTTAGTACAAAAATGTATGTACATGTATGTGGTTGAGTAGGCAATTTTTAGCTCCTTTTTCATTAAAAAAACTAACATCTGGATACTGGTAATGTATGATACCAGCAGTACAATGTACATGTACCCTTAACACTTCAGCTCATCTGTACATTTGCTGCTGCAAAGTGCTCCTTTAAACTTGAATTTAGCACTAGAAACTAACACTGATCAGGTAATTGATCACACAGGAATGCCTGACTGAGATTCCTTGCATTGCTGATATTGACTAGGGGGTTGCACAGTGATGGCATATCAATTATCGATATCACTAGGGCTGTCAAGAGCTGGAGCAATTTTTTCTAGATGTAGGCCTACTTTCATCTTATCAATCAGTCCTACTGCTGTACACGTGACACTGCATCANAAGATGAATTCATGCAAATTACCTGCGGCCAATAGTAATAGTTCCAGTTATATTGCCACGTCAAAAAACAAAGGTCGGATGTAACGAGACAAAACTAATTCTTTTGGACCCCTAATTTCTAGAACCACAGATCGTCCAAATTTTAGGACCGCGGCTCTGAAATTTTTTAGTTCACTCCTTCTTCTGGAAAATCTTGGATTCGCCCCCGGGTATGTGAAATTTATTAGCGTTATTTTTTTTTTAATTAATTAATTTTTTTGTGAGGAGAAATTTCTCTGGGAAGGATCCGGCAAGTTCCGACCATGGAGACCCAACAGGGCAAGATATGGGACCAGGCAAGATATGGGACGGAAGGGGACCCCCCTCCCTTACCTGTCCACTCCTATACACACTAAAGACTATTGTTACCTATTGTTACCTAGCATAAGTCTGTAACGAATTCCTGAGATTCCGATCAAACCGTGACCAACACAAAGGCGGGGGGGGGTCTCTCCGTCCCATATCTTGCTTCAAATGCTGACAGGTCAGGTTCTGCTCCTCCGTCCTTCGACATGCTCGTTTCTATTGACGCCTTGGAGAACAAATGGAGGCACTGCCAGGCAAGCTTTGTATTTGGCTCGGTAAAATGGCCGCGAGTGGATTTAATGATCTCAATAAGCTGATTATCCGTGCCAGGTCGTGCTTGCACCTATGCTTGCACTGAGCCCGGCCGGCCGAGCCGAACTCTTTTCCTAATCGCCCCATAATGATAGCGCCCTCTGTAGTTTTTCAAGAACGTAAACATTGACCCATACCTTGGGCGCCGGGCGTGCGATGAGTTATAGAAATTGTCGAAATACAAGTATACGTACGTACGTAGGCCTACGTTGGAACTTTTGACTATTTAAAAATGTGCTGGAAAGAATACCGCTGACGTGTTGAGCGTGTGCTATCAATCATGACGTTATTGTTGATGTGAACCCCAGTGTTAAATTGTCACTCGTGTCGAAGGGGATGACAAAAGCCGTCCAAATTAGTGCGTAAACACGGTTGTGACGGTGTGAACACGATGACGATGGACTTGAAGGAGTAATTTCACCCGGCAGTACATGTGTACGCCTACAGATCGGTGATGTACAGTTAGATGCTCATTTGACATTGCCTAGCCGGTACATGTATATGTAAGCCTAGAACAAGGACACAGTGGAGCCTGGAGGTAAAGTTGTTTATATATATTGTCTAACGTGCCAAGGCAGGCCTGGGTAGACAATTGTTACTTCCAGAATTTTTGAGGTTGTACATGTACCGGTATGCTGTCACCAGATTTTCACCATGTACCCACGTAACCAGTCATTCCGGGGTCGTTTTGTAGAGTGGCAGGGTATTCTGCAATTTATTCTCATGAGGGAATAGGCCTACATGGAATAAGAGTTCCATATATGGATGCCAGTATTTCCTACAGTCTGACAGTGAGCTATAGTATTATTAGGTATCAGAAAGCTAAAACTTCCAGGAAAGGTCAATTTAGGAGAGAAAAAGCCAAGTCGTTTACCGAGAAAAAACTTACAACTTTTCATACCAGTCTCATAGAGTTTGTGCATAGGGTGTCAAACTCTTTCCAATAACTTAGAGTTCCATATTGTTGGACCATCCCTAGTAAGCTTAAAAACTGGCCATGGAGATGTGTGTTTAATTGAAGGAAGAATTTTTTTTTTCAAAGAAATAGGGTACATTACCAGGGGAACAAGTTTACAATGCTTGGTAAAATTGTCGGTGTTTATGGTGCCAGAAAATTATGGCCAACATGGCCAACCACATGGTCTGATATGGAATTTGTGACCCACACGTACTGGAAACTGTCAGATTGTCAAGCAATGTCAGTGGTAGACACTAGTCAGGTGCTGGTAAATGACATGTAAATAGAATAAAGCTAAGAGAGCAACGGGTACATGTACATGTACATGGGGATGTCATAGATGTACCACAACCCAACTACAGCATCAGTTCCAACCATGACCATCCCCTCTGCAGTGCTCCAGTTGGGTAACCCAACTTTAGTTAGGAAGTATTCGCCGCAGGGCACTCGCCTCACACCACAGAGATGTGGTAATTGTGTCCGGTCAACACAAAATTCAGAGGCCATGGAGACGATTATCTAACTCCTCCCAGGGAAAAAATGCTGCTGTTGTTGCTATTGTTACAAATTGGCTGTTGTACATCTGATCTGTGTTACTGATTTTCAAACATGACAAACCGATCGCTGCAAAGGAAGAAGCAGCTGTTATGGAGTGGTTTTTAGACTACAATTTAGACAATTACATGTAAACTACAAGGAATATATGTATGTAACATTGATGGTGCTGCTCAGGCATTTAATAGTCAGATGCATTCTCCCAAGCCGGTCTTAAAGCGTGTTTAAGACTGGCCAAGCACATACATGGACCCTTCAAGCTCATTCACAGGGACAAAAGAATTTAGTACAAAAATGTATGTACATGTATGTGGTTGAGTAGGCAATTTTTAGCTCCTTTTTTATTAAAAAAACTAACATCTGGATACTGGTAATGTATGATAGCAGCAGTACAATGTACATGTACCTTTAACACTTCAGCTCATCATGTACATGTACATGAATATTGTACGTGTATCTGTACATTTGCTGCTGCAAAGTGCTCCTTTAAACTTGAATTTAGCACTAGAAACTAACACTGCTCAGGTAATTGATCACACAGGAATGCCTGACTGAGATTCCTTGCATTGCTGATATTGACTAGGGGGGTTGCACAGTGATGGCATATCAATTATCGATATCACTAGGGCTGTCAAGAGCTGGAGCAATGTCTTCTAGATGTAGGCCTACTTTCATCTTATCAATCAGTCCTACTGCTGTACATGTGACACAGCATCTNACTGAAAGATCAGAGTAGACCTCTACATGACACACATACATGTACGCTTTGTGTACACCCTGTACACGTACTTTGTATTTTGGATTTCAGTAAAGTGATAATTTTTTATCTCATTCTGCAAACAGAATCAGGATTTTATAGAATGACTTGCTCTGTTTAACAAAGGGGAGCTTATTCCAAACATTTATAATTTTACAAAAAATGAGACTAAAGTTATCAAAACACATCTGATTTTGCAAAAATGATTTCTATAAGGGAAATTTGATTCAAAATGTGGGAACTTTTGGGACATTGAAAGTGGTCTCACAACTTTTCTTCCTTTGTAGGCCTACATGTACATGAAAAAAAATTGTACCAGTGTGTGTATGAACATTGCATTCATGTGTACATGTACATGTACTTGTACATGTATACATGTATCCGGTACAAGGTTCATGTGCTTCCAAGTGCAAAATACCGGTATTTCATTTTGAGGGTTTGTTCTGTCACAGGAAGATTGCAGTGAGTGCATGTCTTTGAGTCGTGCGTTGAATACTACATGTAATTTGCAAATTTGTCAAACACTTTTAAAAAGGAAAACCAACCTTGGGCTGAAGAAAAGATCACAGATGAGTACTATCAAAGCAGATGATGGAGTGATGACTTAATGTGTCTGTTAACAAGTTTTGTGAGCATTTTTGAATGCAGCAACATGGCAGCAGGAGCACTGAAATTCTCAATGGTTATTTACAAAGAAGGTACTGTACTTGTATGTACAGTACATGTACATTATGTGCTAGAATAAAATAACAGTATGGATACCATTTAAGGTAAAGATGATAAAAGTTCAAAGTTTATTCGTACAATGATGTACCTCCATGTCTACATGTATACTTCTTTCATTTGAGCAAAGACTGAGAATACCAGAGTGTGTACTCATCACCCTGGATGGATATTCTCTCCCTCTGATGAAGTGCCAAGTGTGAAATTGGAATGTTCCTAATAATAACAAGCAAAAGGGTGATTGACACTTTTAATGTGGAGAATGATTGCCCCAAGCAGGCGTGGGAAGTCATGTGCTGACACATGCCACAACAGCCATGTACATGTACAGTTGGCACATGCACATGTACATGTACGGTATGCATCTTGCACATGGTGTCCTGTGGCGCTGAGGGTTTTCTTACGTTGTTGTTCAGTAGGCAGGTGTAGTTTTACTTCATCAGCTACATGTATGTATGTATGTAAGTGCCCAGGTTTGGTTTCATTCATGTGCTAGCCAAGTTGCACATGTGCAGTTGTTTCATGAACAGATTGCATGATACGGGTACATGTACATGAATTTATTTTTCTTTCTGAGTTCTATGATGACATACATTCTCAGTTACTGAATGCTGAGCAAGCTTCAAGCTGTGAGCGGTTCAGTTGAATAACACGAATACCGTACACGTATTTCTCAAAGCCAAAAACCCCACGGGACACATTTTAGATGAAAATGATTCTGACAAGCTGCGACAAGTTTTTGACTTGAAATGTTGCTTAAGTGATGACATGCTGGTACATTTTAGCTGAACCAAAACGTGCTCGGATTACCACTATGTGGGTTAAACCTGTTGTTTTGGTGCATTGCTGACAATGATCCATCTCATCTTTCCCCTACAGGATGTGTGTGTATGGCTGCAGATTGATAGGATCCAGGCAGCACTGTTCAATGGCGTGTCTTCATGCATATATTGTAGTGAAGACTAAATTTTTATGTGCATTATTCATATTCTCTGTGTATTGCATTTCATTTCACCAAACCAGGTGATGAAAGACATCAAGAATCTGCAGTTTCTGATGGGGATCACTTGCAAAGAGGAAGTGCAGCTTGTGAAGCCAAGTCTACACGTAGTTTGAACCATGATGTCTCACCAAGGTTGCTGCCCATTTGTTTGCTGCTGATTGCCGGTGCGTGGAAATCTCCCATAAGAAACTACCAGTAAGCTTTTTTGGAATTAAATTGCATTTCACTTGTGCGATCAGTTTTACCAAGTGAGTCGATGAGGGAAAATACCTGATTGGTATTATGGAGAAGGACAATGCAACTCGATTAGGGTCTGTAGAAGACTTCATTGCGGGGATCAAGTCCTATTACAATAACCCAGAGCTAAGTGATGTGATTATCCGCGTGGATGGCAGCGTCTTCCATTGCCACAAGTTCTTCCTGGCGTCATCCAGTGATGTCTTCCAGACCATGCTGACAGGGTCCCAATGGGTGGACTCCCAGCAGCAAGAAATCATCCTGGAGGAGAGCCCTGAGTGTACTGCCGTGTTCGGTGAGTTCCTGAGGTACCTGTACTGTGGGCAGGTGACGGTGGACATGCGGACCATCATGCCCATCTTCACGCTGGCCGACAAGTACAACATCCACCGGCTGCGCTGCCAGTGCGAGCGATACATGACGGAGCAGATCGGGCAGGGCAATGTGCACGGCGCCCTGGACTGGCTGTCCTTCGCCGAGACCTACAGCCTGGACCAGCTGGTGACCCACTGCTACGAGGTCATCGCCTGTAACCTACCCAAGATCCTGGAGCTGGAATCCTGGCTGGGCTTATCTGTGGACCAGATGTGCCGGCTCCTGGACAACCCCCAGCTAGTGGTGGCCGACGAGTACACCCTCTTCAAGGCCATTGAGCGGTGGCTGGTGCACGACCTGCAGAAGGGCGGTATAACGGCCAACCTCCGGCGGGTCCTGCCCTTCATCCGCTTTGCCCAGATGACCTCAGAGCAAATCCTCACCATCGAGAAGTCAGAGTTTGGCCAAATCTACGACAAGCAGATCAAGGACTATATACTGGACGGTTACAAGTTTCACGCTCTGGCCGGGACAGGGAACATGTCGGAGCTGTTCTCGGCTGAACGCTACCTGGCCCGGCTCTACCTAGCCCCACCGCATTGCCATGTCCTGTACGTTCACCCAACCAGCACGGTCATGGCCAATGCCATGACCCAGGGTTACCGGCCGAAGAGCGGCTCCCCATGGTACCTCCTCTTGATGCAGAACTCCAAAGCAGATGCTGTGGCGGCCGCTAGCAGCAGCAGTGCCACCAGTGATGTCACCAGCGAGCGGGGCATGCTGACCAATGTCACATACAAGCTGCAAGCGCCCAACACCGACATTGGGAAGTCCTTCAGGCTCGCCATATCAGCGTATGACGGAAACGATAGATTCCTGAATGCCGTCACAAAGAGTGGACTTGTCTATAAGCCGGACGGGCCCACCGCCAATGTGCACTGGAGCTTGACAACTAACGTCACCACCATCCACTCCCAGGCATTCTTAGACAAGAAAGGAGGCAAAATCAAACTCGGCGTAGTCATTCAAGTGTTCCAAGCTTGATCAAATTTGATTCGGGTGTCAACTTAAAAATTCCTATGGGTGTGCATTAGGTCTGGGTAAATGGTTTTTGTTTACAGATTATACATGTACGAATGTTTTAATTTAATCAGGTCAGCAGTTATGTGCTAAAATGTACCAGTAAAATACTGCACACCACCAGAATTGTAAACATCAAGGACGTGAGCTTGCCTTGCACCAAATTACATACATACATGTATACGTACTTCCTGCATGTACATGTATGTAAATCTGGCCATAAAGAACTACTCTAGTATCCAAACCAGGCTAACGTTTACTTCCTCAGTGCTTAATTAGCATAAATGCACTGTCACTATACGTACCGGTATATTGGCCAAAAATTGCCTGTGGCTTCTGTGCACATGGAGGTACAGGTACTCCTTCGTGTGACAATTGAGAGATATTCGCTCTTTGCACGCTGCAGCCAGAGCCTCAAAATGGCAGCTTATACAATCACATCAACGCAGCTTTTTTAAATATTGTCCAATCGCATGGTATGCATGTACGCATGCAAAATTACTAAGCATACACAGGATTCACTGAACCAGGTATATTTAATGTGTAAAGCTGCCAGATCGAGGCTCTGCATGCCTGTGGTGGCAGCATGCAAAGAGCAAATTGCAGTCATTTGAATGCACTGTTCTTAGACAGTACAGGTTTGTGCACATTCAAATGAAAATTAGGTTTGCCATGCTTATAAATATGTGAATAGGCTTGACAGCACCATGCATACGTGAGCACATCAGTTGAGTAGCTTTGTATCGGTATCATCCAGTCTGCAAGCACAGTGTACTATGTAAATTTAGAGGCAATAAATTACTGGTACATAAGATACATGTACTGTGTAAACAAACCTTTCAAAAAATCCTTCAAGTAGAACACTTTGCCACCGTACCAATTAATGATGGAGACTGTTTTTTGCACATGAGCCTGCCAAAAATCCCACAGTTAAATTCTAAATATTGCAACAGTCATTTGAACCACTAGGCAGAATTTCAGAGAATACAGTATGTATGTATATGTACGTGTAACTGCGGAATCCCTTTTATAAGTAGCTTCATTGAACCGTATCTTTGTGAGTGAGCTACTCAGTACTTACTGGATTCTAAAACTCTAAAATTACATGAACATTTGTACATGTAGGTTAGGTGGGGGAGGGGGCGTAATCCCAAGTGAAGGTCTGTGCCCTTACATGTGCATGTATATGTACATGTAGGTGCCCCCCCTCCCCATTTGGAATGTGGAACCTCTGTACAATGTACAAGCCACAGTTCCTTGGCTTCAGGTGTGCCTCTCCCCCAAAAAGGTGTGTTGCCCTGGGTGTCCCCTAGAAATTCCACCCTAAATGTCACTGTCTATCCCCATTATGTAAAAAAGTATCAGAACATTATAGACACTAAGAGTATGCGTAAAGGCACATGTATGAGTTACCCTGTGAATAAAGAACAGTATAAATTTACATACAGGTAAAATGATTGTCAAAAATACGTTATAAACTTCAAGTTGCTCCATTTTGTTCAGAACAGTGTCTTTGTGATGAATGTATAATGTGTACTGTACGTGTATGTGCTGGAACTCAAGACTGTGTAAACACATTCACAGTACATGTGGCAACGTACCATAAATTATGTCTGGTTTACATATTCATGTTCTATTCAGCATACGGTATGTAGTTACACTACTCATTATTCAAGAATTCCTGGATGTCAGGGATATCGGCCATTCCAAACTAGGGCGCATTCCATTAAATACGCATGTACATATATACATGTACAGTGTATGTGAATGTGTTCAGTGTTTGCAAACAAATTACAGTTAAAACTGTGAAAGATTATAAACCACACTACATGTAGATCTTAAATGGGTAAAGCAAGCCAGTTGTACGGTAAACTTTTTTTGGAGTTCTTTGAAACTGTGTACGGTACATATGTACATGTATACATGTACATGTATGTTGTTACAGCTACATGTACACGTATATGCTTTATACGTGTCATGAATACGTGTACGGTACATTACGTGTTAATGTAATCACATGAAAGCACATGTACATGGATAATTTAAATGTTTCAAAATGTTCCCCCATATTTGTGGTTGTCAGAGTACATGCAGTTGAATTCAACTTGCAAAAGTGTATGTGAACATTGAATCTTGGCATTTTCATAAAGTTTGAAAACCTACAATGCAGTTGCAGAAAATGACTTTGAAAGGTGAAAGTTGTGTGCATGGAAGCTAGAGTGGAGTCTGCATGTTTACCTCAATACAGAGTTGCCAGTGAAATTACATGGTGTGTTAAACTTTGGTTCATATTGTTTGAACTCGTTAGATTTCCCATACAGTTTAAGTGTATCAAGAACAAAAGTTGTACAATGTGAACAAGACTGAAAGTTAAGGATGCAACATGGAATAAAAGAGTATAAACAGATCGCTTTTTGCTCCAGGAAGTGTGCTTTTGTTGCAAGTGACTATGCAAACTTACAAGTTCCAAGTTGCCAGACTGCGTTTGAGTTTTAGTAAAGGCCTTGAATGGGATCGATCTACATGTACTACCGGTATCTAGCATAATTTACACTGTACATGTATGTACAAAATTGCCAATTCCTCAATGTTTTTCACACTGATGTCCCTTTTTATCAGATTGCAAAATGAAGTGATGCGCATCAAAACAACCCAGGGTAGTTTTCTCTTTCAACCTGCATGTACTGGTGAATGTATGTACCAGTATACATGTATATACATATATAAATGTGAGCTTAAATAAGAGCACTGAAAGCAATGCTGTCTCAAGACCAAAGAATTTGATGGGGATTTGAAGAAGTATGGTACATGTGTAGATGTATGAAAGTTTTGAAGTATTGGCTTTCATATGATGTTATTACAGCGAGTGTGTTTGTGGATATGATCACTTTATATTTGCCAAGGACAACAATGGTTTCCCCTTCCTTTAATAAGGTTTGTGTTCAAGACTTTCAGCTTTGCTATGGATAAACCAATTTCCTTGTTCAACTTCCCCAATATTCAAGTACTGTAATGGTCACACAAAAAAGTAAGTCTTGTGATGAAACTTTGGTATTCCATGTTGTTTTAGGCTTCTGTACATGTGCTGCCTACTTCATTGTTTAAAAGCTGGCTTACATGTACATTTATTTCAATGTTATTTCCTTAAAAAAGGAAGGGTATCAGGATTGGTGGAAATATATCCAGCATCTTTATCTTTTTTTGGATTTCTGTCATCTGTTACACATTTGGGTACATACATGTATACGTTTATATGTACAACCCTTACATTTGTGGATGATTATAAAAATCAGAAATTTATTGAGTGGCCTTGATGGCCAATATTCTGTAGAATGTTAAACACAAGCATACTTCCGGCAGATGTTAACAGTGCGGGTACATGTACCATACATGTACATACAAATTACGCACGGACAACAGACCACCCTCATGGATCTATAAATGTCAATTCTAAATGTTAACTCCAACACCAGGGTGACATTGGAAGAAAATGAAATATCCGCGAAATAATCACCAAAGACTTTGATCATGTCACCAAAGCTGTGTAGGATCTATGTTCGCTTCAAGGCATTCCTTCAAACACCCATTTCTTATGTTCGATATTAAGGTTACATGTAAACACACCCTAAAAGTAAACTCAGGATTTTCCAAATATCAAAATGGATTTCTTGAACACTCCTGAAATCAGGAAAAAAACCTGACAAATCTCATCCCTGCGACATTCCTAAATCTTTTGGAGGATTGGGGACTTTTAAAGGTTAAATTGGGTCTTACGTGGGATACCGGTACAAGATACAGTCATTTGCAAAATTTAGGATCAACCACATAAAATGCGTTAACCTGAAGAAAAACCAAACTTAAACCAATCAACCATGGCAACTTAAGTTTATTTTCAATGTGCAACCTTAGTATCTTGGTTAAACAGCTATTCGACTACATTTCCAAGGTGTGAAATGTTAATTAACAGTCCAATATTGAGTGTGCCCGCCTTTACTTCTGATTACTTGTAGACTGGCTTTTTAAATTTGTTTCCCCATGCTGCCTTACAGACAAGATGTCATACAAGACCTGCCTTTGCAAAAAATCTTTCAAATGAATATGTACATGTACCAGTAAGTAAAAACATGTTACGTAATCATTCAACGAGACAATATAATGCAGGCCCAGTGGCAGAAATACCAATAAAATTCCAGGTGGTCTGAAACTTTTGCAAATGACTGTATATAATGTGTTTGGTAGAAAGAATCCAAACTCAAAATGATAACAATCGCCCTTTGCACATACACTTATTCAAGTAGATAATTTTATTTGAAATTCAGCGCCAGAAAGTAGACCAATCATAATTGTACAGCAGGGTACATAACATTTCCATTTGCAGACATGTTTACAGAATGTCCAGGGGCCGACTCATCCGCTACACTTGTTTTACATAATAAAAAAAATGTTGCGGCATATACAACGTGTGTACGTTGTGTGCAAATCATTATAGGCCATTCTAGCACGGTGGCCTGCAAAATGTCTGTAGGACAAGTATAACATTCTGCTTTTTTGCAAGGATGGATTTGCGCCAGGGAGATGTTAATTAATTTAAGATTTTTTTGTCCTGCCCAACGTGTATTATAACACTTTAACCAAGTGTTGCCCCCGAAGGCTTATAAAAAAAACCACAGGCGTAGTCGGGTGGGACTCGAACCCACGACTTCCTGCTTACTAGTGCAGACGTCTTAACTACTCGACCACCGAGCTTGCCAGCTTGTCAGCAGGCTGGTTTGAGTCAGATGTTGCAGCGGGTACCGTGAACAACTACGTTGGACAGGGCAAAAAAAATCCTAAATTAATAAACTATTCTACTTGTTGAACACATGGGCATCATTGGGGCCAAGCACTCATCAGCAGCAACCTTAAAACTGTAAATGGTGCCGGTATTTAACCAAATTTTAGACTCTCGTTCCCTGTCCTTTTCTTCTGCGCAAAGTTTGTTGAGATGGTTAACTGAGGAGGCAGGGGAAACCTGAGACCAACGTACATGTAGTTCTACGTAGAACTACGAAATATGGTATGTTAGCAATGGCTGTGTCCAAATCCCTTGGCTACGGCTGGCGCTAGTCTATGGGAAATGGCTCCTGACTAGCCGCTAAGAACTTTTAGCGCCTTTCATTTGTGTGTACTCGTGATGTCTAGCCATTACCAAGGGATTTGAAAATAGCCTTTGAGGCCCAACGTCCACTGAGATCTTCAACTTTACTGTCGATGAGAACATGCCGGTGATGCACAGAGTCCCTGCTGCATTGAATGGAAATGCGAAACAACTCGCTGTAGTGTCGTCTGTGCTCAAGAAGTTGCTGCTGCGTTGAGAACGATTCATATACGCACTGAAACAGCAACCAATTGCCACTGATGGTGCTTTCGATACCATGCCTGGCTATCTGCAGCTGCTGTCAGAAGGAAGCAAGTCTAATCGAGGAAAATGTTCGTTAAAGTTAGTCAGTTTTGATCAAAAAGCTTGCTGTCGGAGGATGGTACATGTAGGGCAGTGTCGTCTTGTCGGATCACCCAAGGCTGGTCATGACATAGGCGTAACATCAGTCACGAACCAACTGCTAGGCAACCAACAGCCCTTGACTGAAACAGGGTTGTACATGTATGTGGTAATAACACAGTGGTGGAAGGAAAAGGACACGTAGGATGACATGCGTCAAAAGCATATCCTAAATATTTATGTTTTATTCAATCAAAAACATCACATTCACATTGGAGAAACATGACATGGAAAGTTGAAAATTGGACTGCAGAAGAGTTGATGGAATAAAGTACAAATATTTAGGATATGCAAATCACATTGTTGTATGTGTCCTTTTCCATCTGTACCTAACACAGCAGAAGCATCAGGAACCAAGACTAGCATATGCACGGCTTCTCATTTATCGACCATGTACAAAGCCTGACTGTAGTGTCAGATGTGGTCACTGAAGGTAAGGCAACTTATACTGCCACTCCACATAATCTTTAATCACTACAAAAATAAGAGTCTTTATAACCATGTAAATACATTAACAAGCAAGAAAAATGTTCAATTTCAAATACATAAAAACCTTACATCCGAACACAAAGAATGAAACAACATCTAAATACACTCCTTGAAGCACAAAACCCTTTGACTATTAATGTTATTAGCACATTTTATGCACAATAAATGCATCCAGGAAACAGGCACCAGGAAAAAGATCACAGTCTTGTTAATGAGCTTAGATTGATCTGCAAGATCTAAGTAATGACGTATTAAATAATGACAAGGCTGTAACTGTTAAATTTATACATAACTTTTAACAACCTAAAAGATATATCCAAAAAAAAGGAAAAAACCCTACAGTATTTAAAAATGGCTGCTGACTGCACAAACTACAGTACACACTTCTTCCACCGGGTGTATTCCCCACGATGGCACTTGACACAACGTTCAGTATCTGCCTTAAGAAAATGCCTTGCCCAATGCACATATACCAGTAGCAAGGGAATCCCTGGATGGGAGGACAGCCATACTTTCTAGAGGTTTTCATTAGGCCAATGTAATGTAATGGGCAACCATCCGATTCACTCCATTTATTAGTCCTGGTTGTATACACCTTTTTTGTTTTGCCTACAATATTGTATGTACAGCCAAAGTGTACAAAATTTCTTTCTCTTTTTTTTTCCAATGAAGTGCAATTTTGTCTCATTTAGGGTATTGGGGAGTAATTTTTATTTGGATTATTATCTAGCATTTTGATAGGTGTGTGAGATGTTTCACACTTTCTGATTTATTTTTGCTATCTGTTGTACACAGCAGCAGTTCTAATGCTTAACCATTACAAGAGACAGTCCTGAGGTACAGTGATCACATGTCCAGATTAATTCATTTCAAGTCAGCCAACCATTAATATGTACCTTAACCATAACACTCCTTAGTCCTCCAACAGGTGAAGGATTGAGGAGGGTTAGGGTTAATAAACTATACAATGGTTGAATAAATCCTTGTCATCTGACAGGTGGATTGTTGATCACGTGCCAAGAATTACGAGTACTTGTCTGATGCACAGCGCACGGCCAGCCTGTAAGAATGGAATGATCCATTCTGCCAATACATGGACCGCTTCATCTGGCTGACTAGAACATTTCATATGTAACTGAATGAAATTATTCCCATCAGTGCATAACCATGATTTATAGAGCACTCCAAAAGCAAGAACTAAGGCAGAGCGGACAACTGCAAGAGCAAGGAATCTGCACATAATGCAACCCTTTTCCAGTACCATGAATAACACTGTTAACTTTAACAAAATGAGTACAACCAGGGACCGCTTTGATCTGTAAGACATCGGTCATAAGAGCGCAACAGATAAAGGCATATGGGGCTTGATTCAATCACACCTGCTTTTGCTTCGAGTAACCAGATTACCGTGCACTGCGTTGCAAACCCCATGCGGTGTGCATTGCTTTGTGACTGGTGCTATGCTCATTTTTTTTGCTTTCCTTGCTACTGCTGTGCAACATCCTCCAACACTAGTTCTTGCTATGGCACCAAAAAGACAGGAAAGGGGGCCAGTAAGTTACAGTGTACAATCACATTAGCATGCATCCCCTGATGATGTCACCTCTTGAGCACTCTACAACCTGTTCTTTGAGTCAGCTTGGAGGCTGTTTGTTATTGGACTGGAGCCAGAGCATAATTTCTGTTTTGAAATAAAAATCAATTCCCATCTCAATGTTAAAACTGCTATTAGAAATTTCGTTCCATCTACACATATTTTTGACTGCAAAAGGGGATAACCTCTTTGAAAGAGGGTAAAGTGCAGAAATGTTTCATTCATACTACAGTCTCCCTCCCTACTCATGAGGGGTCAAATGTTTTTTGGGGTGTTGACAACCGTTGAAACACCTGCAGAAATCAGGGATGCCGGTCAAGTTTTTGTCCAGAGCCTGATAAGGGGGTAGGGAAGCCTCAACTTACATACATGTACACAAACCTTGTCCGAGGCCTGATATTGGCCCAACATTTTAAATAAGAGTCTGAATTCAGGCTTTTGCGTGAGGACTGGCATCCCTGAGAAATCGATAACCTTTGGAGAAACATGCCAAGGTGACTGCCCCCCCCCTTAACCTGTTTTTTGTGTCTTATGCTGTTTGGTATTAACCAACATGTCATTGCACAATATATAATAAACAGCTTAATGTTTTGTGATTACATACTGTACAGCTGTCATGGCTGTACAGCTGAGGGTTCAATCGAAATGTGAGACAATACCCATTATTTTTAATATTACGGCAACTCATACATATTTACAAAGCTAGGCATAAGGCTGGAAGGGGAGGGATCTACAAAACTTAATTCATCATAAACAGCAAGGTCATTCCATACAGTTTCAGAACTACATGCACAAACAATTGTCCACAACTTTTCTTTTACGTACATGTGTGCCATGTGATGTCAGACAAAAAAGCAAAGTGAATACATGTAATTCCGTGAATTCTGCCTTCCCATTGGAAAACATGCATCCGGCATCAAACAACGACAAAGAAAACAAGCAAGTCTGGACACAAACTGTACACAAAAATTACTTAAGCTGAAAATGTTCTGCATCTCAAGAGCACAAACTCTCTTAACTAGACTTCCATTTCAGAAGGGCTGTTCCAATGAATCTGTGTGCTTTTCAAGACACAAGCCATCCACAAGTCTTACGCTAAGGGCGGGAATTTATGTTTAATAAATTTTTGAAAACTTTCCCATACAGTTTAAGCATTTTAGCCAACGCGTTACAGAGGCTGCCGCCGCCGATCTCGATGTTTTCATATTGCATACTGTACATGTACAGTGTAGTTAAATGATGCACATGGTCCCACCAATTTAAAAATGCAGATTGATGCTGAGGCGTTTAAAACAAGTTATGTTTTATTGTTTTAGAATCCACTTTTTTTCTCAGAAAGTACCAGATGCCAAACAGGAAAAGTGTTCCGAGAATCATATTACATTTAACAGGCATCGTTTACAATAAAAATGAATGCTACACTGAATCAATCAAAACATCAAACCTCTAAAAGGGGCGGTTCTGTTTAAATGCTTGGGAAAATCTGTAAACAGATTTGAAACTTGTTTTGTTCGAACGTTTAACCGTGTAAACATCCCATCCTTATCCTACACACAATAGTGCAAAAAACACTAGGCAGGTCAATATACATGTGGTAACTATCACCAAGGAAGTTGTGCTGTCACAGCAAAACAAGGGCCCCAGGCTTTCATTTTTTTTGGGGGGGGATCAATTAACCATTCCCTTTTTGGTTAACAGTTCAATCAATCACGTGGCAGTTTTTTTCCATCCAAATAACATGCGAGGCTTTATGAACTACAACCAAGTGGTCTGTCTTGAGGAATTTCTTATGTGTCCTCAAAAGTCATGTCATGTCATTCACTTCTGGTTTTCTACTTCAACCTATTTCTGTATTCACATTGCAGCTTTTGCAGGAGAATGTTTGAGTTTTCGATCAACCCAAAGATCAATTAAACCAACTCCAGCAACATCCAGCAACTATTCAAACATAAACTGATTCATTTCCTTGTGGTCCTAACCAAAACATCAAAACAATGTGAAAATAAATTCTTAAATCTGGTCGTAATTTACCACGACATATTTAAAAACAACAAAACCTCATCCCACTGTTCACACGCTGCCTTTTTTCATTGCTGTCGCAATGACAAACTGTACAAGTGAAATTCAAACAAAGGAATTATACATCCATTTTACGAGGCCTAGCTCAGTGAAACATCTAAAAGTTCCTAAGCCATCTAAAAAACCAAACCCAACCTATCCCCAAAGAAATGTGCATGGCAAATGTGCAGTGGAAACTCAACGCCTCATCCAACTTCAGGTTCACGTGATATATTGTTTCTGATGAACTTTTCATAATTCACTGCTTTGAAGATTGTACAAGACGAAAACTTTTTACAGTACTTCATGTGCTTTTTTTTTTTGGGAAAATGAGAGATGCGAAAGGCATCCATTTGGCTAATCGTGTGTCTGACAAAAAAATTATCAGCAATGCACGTCACGTACTGCCGTCAATAATGAAACACATTTTAAGTTTACCACTGCGGCACAATGTATACTCTATCTACTTTGACCAGTAAGAAGAAAGGTCCCTCTTGCAGGGAAAAATGGAATCTATTCACAAACTTTCTACAAATTCCTCTGGGCCTGTTGGCTACTTATGTCCTTTTTACTTAAATCACAGGCAAAACTGGTTCCTGGGTGAATCTTACCCCCGAACTAAACTAAAGTATAGTCTGACTCGAGAGTGTTGAATTAATAAAGCATTCTCTGCCCACCAAAAGAAAGAGAAAATCAAACACGACTGAACCTTGTTGGTGGGATCAAGCTTGACCACAGCGGATCACCAACCCAGAAGCGATTTAATCCACTTTCACTACGCTGTAGATTTTGCTGACGAACCAGAAACAGGAAAAGAAGCCCACAGCTCCTGCAAGAACACATGGAACAGGAGGAGGAAATGTTCAGCCTGTTTTGCTACATGTACATCCTTCCAATACACTTCCATATTTCCCTCTTGAACACTGCCGTATACTTTGAAACACCGCTGCCGAGGAGGTCGGCAGCGGGCTGCAAGGCCGGCAAGGCCAAGCTAGCACTATAAAGCCAACACTACAATGCCAAACCCCTTCCCTTTTGTTCAGGGAACCCTGCTGAACCAGACAAAAACCAACAACAGGAAACGGGTGAAGCCTGCTGAGCCCAACAGAATCCAACAGCTTGAACATAAGGCTTTCCGTTTGCGTCGATAAAAACCCACAGAATGTGACCACTCTTGGATATTGTTGGGTTTAGTGTGGTTAAGGTAAACAATCAAATGGTACCCTCCAATTCACTCCATTTGCGGATACGGTAAAAGGTATGGTGAAGCCAGACGGAATGAATGATGGCTTGATAAAACAAGTTGGGTCGGCTGCACGATGTACTCTCAATGAGACTGTCAGGTTTTAATACCTGGAACGCTAGAAAATGTAGGGCCAATTGCATGTAGTCCTGGGCTGCAATGCAGGTAGAATTGGGGGAAAAAACACTCACCGGTGAACAAGAAGAACAAGAGGACCATGATGGTAGTGTAGCCGAAGTACAAGATGGTGCTGGTCGTTCCCTGGATGGTCAACTTGGACACGAAGTAGTGCAGACAGTAGATGAACAGGTAGACGGCAGTGAAGCCACTGGTCAGGAAAGAGCGCCACCACCAGTGATAGTCCTGTAGGGGAGAGAACGCACGTTACTTGAATCTGCCCTTAAGCACTTGAGTCTGAATGACAGTGGCCTCTGATAGACCACCCCCCCACCGACTTACAAAACAGCTCTCAAATAATGGGTTGGATAAGAGCCAGCTCTGAGTTCGAAACCTTTGACCCTAAAAGAGCAGAGGGGGGCAGCATCCTCCCCCCAGCCCCGACATTTTTTCCAATATCACCACAGTGCATTTTTTCCAGGAGTTGAGCATTTAGGAGTTTTAGAGTAATTCTTTGCAGTCATTTTGATACCAGTTTTGCAAAAATTGAACTGTTCTTGCGCTGCGTGCATTTTTCCAAAACAGGTCAGCAAAATATGTATACTTTTTCCACAGTGATGCTCAATGCATATGGGCCGGCAAACGTGGAGACTTGAATTTCAAATAACTGCAACAACAATCTTTGTAATGATAAGGAGTGCTTTTACATACATGTACATGCAAAGTTTAGAAAAAAATCAAGTGTGGCGCAGCTGAGTTCTAAGAGGGGGCAGAATCCCCCACCTCAGCTGTGAGATGGGCCAAAGTAACCCGGCTCTTTTAGGGTTAAAAGATTCTCGGACAATGTTAGGTAATGGCAACCCTACACATTTTCATTAGGGTGCAAACCCTGAGAGATGCATCAGTGCAAAAACATGAGTTGCTCTTTCTAGTGCATACTGCAACACAATATGGGCGTTACCCAAGAGTTTGCAACACGTTGACCAATCACACTGCGCAAAATCTGTCAAAACAATGCACGTTTCGAAAGGGTTGAAAGATTTTGTGCCTAGTGATTGGTCAGCATGTTGCAAACTCTTGGAGGCACACTGTTGTAGAACTCCCATGTTACTGAAAACAAAGACTCAAGACTCATTTTCATGGACCAGATAACAAATATCAGTACTGGTATTTTCATCCTACATGTGCATGTAAACCCTAAACATCTCTGATAAGGTCTGCAAACTTGGGTAAACAATGGAACCTGCCCACTCAGTCTACTTTTGGTCTGCAAGGTCAAAGACTAAACTTTCAGTTCCTCTGCCGCAGTGCTGAGTCCTTCCATAAATCCCTTTACAAGCCCAGCCAAATGCATGTGCACATCAAGCTGAAGATTGGGTGGTGCCACCACAGTTAGGGTATCCAATCGGATTAGTCTACAAAAAATGTGCTTATACAATGACACATGGTGTACTCGCACATTACATTTAAAAGTACATCATCTGGAATATACACCAAATTATTTCAATATCCCCAACAAATAAACACATGAATTCAACATGTCTGCACCCAGGAGGCATGACAGCTACTCCAGGGAATGACTAGTAAGTATTCGAGTTCTTATGTAGCTCTGTGATTTCTCAGCATTTCTCTACACTAGGAGCAACTCACCTCCGCACACAGGTGGAAATAGCACAGCAGGATGGTGGCCTCCGAACAGGTGATCACCAGGATGATGGCCACAAAGAATAAGAAACCAAACATATAGTAGAACTGATGGGACCTGAAGGAGGGAAGCAAATCACCACAGATGACAGCAGTGGCTCAACTACTCAACTACTTCCCCTATGGCTGACCTGATGTCTACGGGAGTGGATGACAGCAGTCATCAAGAAAAATCTTGAAAAGGACCCGGCATCTTGTCTTGCTCAAGAAAAATCTACCCGGCAGCAAGTGGTTAATATCTTTTTACAAACAATTGCATACATTCAAGTTTATTATTCAGATTTCGAGGGCACGCACTGCTACTCACCAGATGCTGTTGAGGATGAAGAACAGCTGGATGAAGATGCAGCCAAAGGGCAAGACTCCGCCCATCACGATGCCGGGAAGGGGGCGGGTGTAGAACGACTGTTCAGGGATCTGACGGGGAATCTGATTGGTGCGCACAGGGAACTCAATCGGCTGCAGAAAAAAAGAAGCGAGCCAATCAGGTCGAATGTATCAAATGAAATAACGTTCCAGTGGCAAACTCCCGTTCAGGCGTGAGGTCAAAATACAAACGCTTTTGAAAGCGTTTAACGCTTTGTAAACGCTAAGCCCCACCGACGGTCAACATCGAACAGACGAACGCTTCGGCAAGGCTCGCTAAACCGTTGCGGTCGAGTACACCGGGCACTCTGCAGCTTCCAGTAAACAATGGACAGCTCATCGCACAACCGCATCATAATAGACTTCTGCGGTCTGGTGGATGAGTCATAACAATAGCTCTTTACTTTGCAGCCTCGCAGGAGGATTTAGATCGGCAGACTGTTTTAATTTCCTGATAAAACATGTGCATTGAGTACTTGTGTTGCGCTGTCGGTTTCCAGACCAGTCTTGTCAGGACTCGATACCCTGTAATCTTGATATTTTGTCTCAGTATCGTGAGTCAAATACACACCTAACTGTATACCTGCAAAATCGATTATACTAACTCGAAATAGTATTTACCTGAATCATACATGACGTAGTGTTCTGTTCGCCAACATGTAGTTATAGATCAAACCTCCTTTTTTTGACCGTGTGCAAAAGCTGGGACTGAGCATTGCGCACTAGCAGGTTTTCATGTGTAGGATCGAGGAAGACACATACGCGACCTACGCGCATTCCACTTCGCGGCTGCATCTGCATGCACGATTTAAGGATACACGTTTGTCCTTGAAGTCAGGAGTACATGCATGCACGTTGCAATATGTTTTATACGTACAATTCTTTTGTACTCTTTGTATACTTTTTGGCTGCACAAAATTCATGTTGGAAAACAAACATGTCGGGTTTTATACTCTGGTGTTTGACTTTATTATTAAACTTTAATGCACAGTACATTAAAACAACAAATCAATCTAGTGCTGCAGGCGAACTGCCGAACCGAGGCGAAAATCATCAAACAAGGCACTTTCAAACCGAACCAATCTGTTCGGTTTGGATGTACGGCTTTAAGAAGGCATTTCACTTATGGCACACGGGAATACAGACAAGAAAACTTTGTAAAAAACAAACACAATGAAAAATGGATAACGAGTTAAAAAGCGTGGTCCACATGTGCGTGAACATACCGAAACTTACAACCCCCCGCATCATGAGATGGTTGTAAAAAGCATGTGGTGAGAATCACTCAGAAATCAACCAAGAACATGCAACGTATGGCATTGTTGCTGCATAACATTTTTAAATTCTCCCTACATCCCATCGTGCTCATGTATATTCAGATTTATTATTATTATTATTATATTTGCCAATCTCCGATAGCTGCACCCATACGTTCCATACTAGGGTAATGACGTTCCATATTAGGCCAATTGTCTCATAAATGATTGTGCAAAACAAATTTTGATTGGATACTGATCACAGTCGGACTTGTGCTCGATCCAAGGCATCCCCGGATGAAAATTTTACCAAGCAGTTCAGTGCACGCTGTGCTTCAGCGCAGCATGCGAGGAAGTTTTTGTTCACGCGGTGGCCTAACTTGCCTTACATTTGACCATTAAGTGTTTGATCGTAGTGCGAATGCGTTGTAGTGGAATTTCGCCAGATCTCAAAAAACAAAATGCTGTTATCCCTCCAAAAGAGGCTGATGGAAAATCGCCCCCTTGGTCAAGTGCACGCCGTTCTTGGAAAGGTTCCTCCTCAAATATCCAACGAAAGCCATTTTCCTAGTTGAATCTATTTCGCCAAAATAACCAAAAACACAATTCGCTCGAAATTTGTTTTTTAATCTTGTATTCTGTACTGAAGGAGAGAAGTCTTATTTGAGCAGGCTGTTTTTTCTATTTGCACATATTTTACTATTGTTTTGTTGAGTCAAGCGTGGTCCGAACACAACCATCTCTGGTTGGCAAAACACGGTCAGAAACTGTCACCCCTCCAGCGGTAACTTTATATGGAATGTACTCGTAAACAAACTCTTGGGAAACAGTTCAGAAAAAAAATGTATTCAAATCAAAGTTGCTCGTGGATAGGGAGAGATGGGACTATATAGGCCTATGCGGCACGATCCTAGCAAACCTTTCGATGTCTCACTGTGCATTGTACGTGTACATGTCCGACCCCCAACCGATCCGAAGTTCGGCACAAATTTTCCAAGCCTCGTCTGAATCGAACCAAACCTTGACACATACTTGCAGCGCTATTTGATGCAGAGTTTGACTATTTTTATTACCTTCAAAGAATATGGTACACCTGACTGAAGTCCAAAATAAATTCATAGTGTGTCTATGTGGATATTTCCTTTCAGAGACGATAGATCAGTTGGTAAAATGAGGCAACCGTGTCTGGCATTTCCCGTCACTCCCGTATAAACATATTTATTTTCCAGTCTAAAAAATGCTGAAAGACGAACAATGATATTGTGGCGATGTCTTTTCGTCATGAAGTACCCACCCAAAACATTTCCGAAGCTAGAGAAATGTCTGTAGCCTAGAATGCAGTTGATTTTGCATCTCTATCACAAGGTGTTAACCACTAATCCTTACGGCCAGCCAAGGAGGGCTGACCGGACCCACTGAAATTCTCCTTGAATGGGATCTATTGTTCACAACTACGGCTGTGTGAGTCACAAACTCCATTGTTGTCAGGGTTGCTTGTGAAGATAGACAGTCCAGGCAGACGACTCTTTTCAAACCGTTGAACTGTCCCACACCAAAACACGAACGGAACGGAATGAAGGGGGATTAACACCAACTGTTGAACTGTTTCTAAACCGTTTGTATTTTGACCTCACGCCTTATTCAGTTGGACTCATTTTTTCTAAGAAGAGAAAAACGCTCACCCTCTTCTTGAAGCCAAAGTAAGCCCCCAGGAACACCAGGGGCACAGAGATGCCGAACCACAAGGCTAGTAGAGCCACCAGTGTGGAGAATGGTATGGCCGCCGAGCTGTGCTTGGTCCAGAGCAGGAGGTTCAAGATGAAGAAGATGCCAAAGACGATGCCCGGGATCAGGAAGCAGGTCAACAGCAGGTTGGACTTCCACTTCTCACCGCCGAAGGCTGATCCAGGAAGGAAACGGGATCGGAAAAAAGAGAAAAAAAAAGGGGAGGGGAAGAGGGGAAAGTGACAGTAATGGTGCATCTCATAATTATTAAATGTTTCCTCAGTTTGGGAAAGTTCCAGTTGGAATGCAGTGAATTCCCAGTGAACATCATCAATATTCAATGTCAACAGAATGATTCTCAAAGTGGGAAGGGGGTAGTTGTGAGCCCAATCAGGCATCAACCAATGATAGACCAATCCATTAAGCCCCATCCCCAAGCTGGGATTCTGAGGCTGGTTGGTGTCAGGATAACTAACCAACTGCATCTTCTTACACTTCTGCTGAGTTTCTGGCTACAATAAGGTGGAGTATACAGGGCAAAGAACTCTAAGACTTTCCTAGGCAAACCAAAGCCAATTTCATATATCAGAGCAGGTGTTTTTCTGTATAGAGTGCAGACTGAGATCCACAGGGCATACTCACTCTTGTACATCCTGGCTGAGATGTAGCCCGCCGGTGTGCCAAGACTGACAAAGAGGACGATGACACACGTCATGAGGGAACCACGGTTGGCCGGGGACAGGAACCCAAGGCAGGCAAACACTATGTAATGGACAGACAGAAACAGCGACAAATTCATTATGTCAGAATAGTATAAATTACACACTCTTTGTGAGGGTTTTGAGGCAAATTTGTAGAATGAAGGTTCAAAACCAGGTCATGGGATTGCAACCTCACACCGGTGAATGGAATTCTTGTTACCTACCCAAAGTGATGAAGGTCATGCAGAATATCTGTGACCCTGACCCCAGCAGCACTGACAGCAGCATGCCCTTGCGTGGTGCTCGGAAGACGTCACCATGCACCAGCTTCCAGCCAAACTCCTCTTGGGCCTCCTCCTGAGTTGAACAACGGTCATATTAATGGCGGTTAGACTTCGTGCATATTATCTTCAAGCCCGAAATGGTGGCAAATGAGAAACCAATATTGGTTGAGGACAGGGAGGCCTTGAAAAGGGGGCCTACTATCTTCAGTGTCCCAAGCACAATCTTCTTTGAAACTTGGTATGAACGTAAAGATATTCACTTTGAAGTTTCAATTTAACCACTTGCTGCTGGGTGCCTTTGGAAATGCAGTGTCTAAAACTGGGCAATTTTCAATATCTTCGGTTTTCAAAAATCTTCAAAAATTCATATCTATTTTTTTTCCCCGAAGGCTTAATCCCATCGAGTGACTGTCTGGTGGCTACTCTAATCTGACAGACAACATCTATTGATGCCCGGGTATTTCAGCCAAGCCTGCCGCCTTGTAAAAAGAGCCCAAATTGTGTGGTGTAACATAAGTGTCTTTTTGTTCCCGAAACTGGCACAGTGCACGGCTGGCGTCTTTTCAATACGGGCCAGATTAGCGTGCAGCGGCACTGAACATGTACATGTATCGCCCATCACTGGAGTGCTGGAGCGCTTTTGTCCCCAGTGGTAATCTGCTTGAGCTGAATGCCACAAACAGTGGTATCATCTTTCAAAACAATGACGAATTTCCTCCGCTATTAACATCTGAAAAAATGTTGGCAATTCCCAGCAGCTTGGTCTTTTGTTCTGAGTATGATATTTTGTTACAAGGCCAAGCTCTTTCATCCAATTTCGGGCACTCGGGCTATGCGTCCAAACCCAAGGTACCCAAAATGGGCTCCCTGGCAGCAAGTGGTTAATCTGATGTACATGTAGCATTCTGTTGCTACGGTCATTTATGATTTGCCTCTTCAAGTGTGCTGGCCAGCGTCCATTGGGCACAATTTCTCACTGACCTGTCTCAGAAATATGACAGTAAAAGACAGCACTGAAAAAACACCCGTAGGTTTGACACACACACAAATGCATTGGGGCAATAGTGGAGCAAATGTCACAGGAAATCTGCTCCCAGTTCTTTTAGGAATTCCTATTACTTTCTGTTTTGCACTGTTGTACCGGTAATGACAACATTCTAAAAGAATTACTTCAGAGTTCCCCCCCAAAAAAGACCCCCACATGTGCCCAGGTATTGTGACTGTACACAAACTTGTAATTATACAAATGGGTCTTTCTATAAATTAAGGTTCCAATTTTTTTTTTTATATCCCTGTCACATTCGACATATGTTTTGTAAGTTCAAAACACATTCTCTAATTTCCAAAAGTGATGAAGTAATGCAATTAACCTGCACGACAAATCGATAATAGTTTGAAATCAATTTCAGTGACATTTCTATGTCAGATGACACAGGTCAGGTGTAACAGGGACACAAAACTGTCACAATGTCACCCCGAATTTATCAAATGACCCAAACACAAGGCAGTGGCACACAGGGACTTAGACAGGTGAGTAGTTCAGGTTTCAAGTTCATTTTCCATACCATATATAAGTTACATGTATACATGTAATATAGAAGTTAAATGCGACTTGGGGGGGGGCTTTTAGGAATGCAAATGTGGGGAATTTCATGTCTGTTCAACTTACCGTGTCCATCTGGTTGTAGCGAGCGATGTCCTTGTGCAGTGTGCGCAGCATGATCATGGCCACCATACCAGAGAGGAACAGGACGATCACCAGCGAGTTCATGATACTGTGGCAAGGGGAAAGCACAATCAGACAATTATATCTGTGGGTATGAAGAACATACAATAGGAATGCTGCCTCCGACATCATCTGCAGAATTACCACAAATTCATATCTGTGATCCATTTCTGTGTAAAGTATGGCCTTCCTGTACAGAACAAAATGGAGTGTCAAATGGCCTCTGGTGTTTTCTCACAATTTGTCATTGATATGAATACCTTTGAAAAAAGCATTAAAGTACTGCAAAGGTACGCCTTGAAAAGCTGAAGATGGATTAAAAATTTATTCATTTCACTTTAAACGGGAATTCTGCACAGAACAAAATGAGACTGTTTATATTTAGAGCATATAAACTTCCGTCTGGAACCCTAAGAAATTTTATAGCACCATCTAGCAAGTGGGCATTCTCGTTCAGTGTGGCGTCATGGACTGACTGGGATGCTTGAGACTTTGAGTGCTTCCATGTACGCAATGCCTTCGATTCTTCTAGTGGGGTGGTATTGTTATTGTGGTAAGTCAGCATCATATAACAGGCATACATGTATATGAGGGCATGCAGTATAGCTTCTCATGAACAGTTTCCATAACTGATCATTGTTGTAAATCAGCCGTAACAGTCCTAATCAAATATCTGGAAGATGGAGGACTACGGGAATTACTCCAGAGTTTTCTAAATTCCCCCCTCCACAGAGGGAGGGACGGGGAATTGGCTTAAAGAGTGATCTCCTTACCTGAACCACTGGATGTTGGAGTGAGGCATAGATTCCAAGATGTAGTCCCACCTAGACGCCCATCGTGTTGTGGAGTTGGACTGAGGAAGGAGTGAAAATGGACAGTGACTTGCTGTGGAATGGTTAACTCTAAGAAAGCTACGAGGGGGCCCTAAACATTTTCTTCCAATGTCGCACCAATGCTTATTTTTCATGACCCACGCTTTAAGGATTTTTTTTCAGGAACTCTTTGTGGTCATTTCAACACCATTTTTTGTGAAACTTGAGCCTGCTGTTCTCACGCAGCGTCGATCTGTTTGAGTCAGCTGATTAATTTTGGATTTTTGCCCTGCCCGACGTGTATTATAACTCAGTGTTTGCCCCGAAGGCTTGTGAGAATAACACAAGCGTACCCGGGTGGGACTCGAACCCACGACCTGCTGCCTACTAGTGCAGACATCTTCATCACTCAGCCACCGCGCTTGCTGGTGTTAGCTGGCTGGTTCAAGTCAGATGTAGCAGCGGGTACCGTGACAAACTATTTCCAAGGATGGATTTGCACCAGGGAGATTTTACAATGTAATTAATATTGGATTTTTGCCCTGCCCAACGTGTTTAATCAGTGTTTGCCCCCAAAAGCCTTCAAACACTGAGTATACAGTGTTATAATACACATCGGGCAGGGTAAAATCCCACATTAATTAACATCTCCCTGGCACAAATCCACAACTGTAGCCTTGAACTTCAAAAGACTGTAACAACAAACGCCACACTTCAGGTTGAGTTGAAACTTCACATTTATAGTGACAAGGAATGCATTAACAAGTTTTGAAAAAAATGAAGCAGGCATGGGACAGCAGAGTTCTTGCAGGGGCTGACACGATATCGTCCAAAATAACACTACTCATCTAGGGTGGAAGTTCATTTGTAAACAACTCTCAGCTGTTGCAGTGTTAATTTCTCCCCTTGTAAATAGAAAACCTCCTCGATAAAAAAACCTACAGCCAGGTTATTTGCTGGCACTGCGTGAGGTTCAAAAACAGAATGCATAACTCTGCTCACAGGTGGCTTGGATGTTAGGCCCACATGAAAAGTGCTGAACGGACTTCAGGGAGTAATGTGATCAAGAACAGCTTACCACAAAGTGAATGGCATAGCTGTAGCTGACAGAGATGGATTCCTTCAGTTCAGCCGGGATGGCCATGGGAAACCCGGTTTGACTCTCGCTTGGGGTGATCTGGCATTTCCCACCAGTTTTCTTGTGGTTGAGGCTGACAAAAAAATTGAATAATCAGATAGATGAAAGACAAAACAGTAACTGAATCTGACATGATACAACACTTGCAAGAAAAGTCTCAGGGGATACGCTGGATGTTCTTATGTCTTGTGAATTTCAAAGAGCTTTTGTTTGTGCCTGTTTTTGTGTTTTTGCTTTTCCTTTTGGAATAGGAACCAGCGTAATCTTTCCTGCATGTCACATCTGATTTTTAGCTGTAACTCAAGGATAATTTGATTTCATTTTGTGATTCTACCTCGCAGTGAGGACTGCCTGAAATGAGAAACATGAAAGGTGATTGACATATAAAAAAAATACATAACTATTCATTTTTGTGTTGTGTTTTCACCTTTTTGTGCATACATATGTAAGTTTTGGCCCCAAATCCTCATACCAAAACATTTCTGGGGCGGGCTGTGACACAATTTTTTAATATAGACCCTAGTTCGGAATGGGTGCATGCATCTGACTGAAAATCGCTATACCGAACGACTGCTATATCGAACATTGTGCATTTTCTTTATAACAACATTCCACTATATACATGTACATGTATGCAATGAGTTCTATGGAGAATCTATGCAATGCTTTCCATCTTACTTTAACCTTTGAAAATACATGTACACTACTGTTCTTCAACTGTCCTTATTTTCAATTTGTGTTTCTTAAATACAGGTAGCTTTGGCATCCTTTTTTATTGTTATGCTGAGGCAAATTTGTAATGTCCTCTCAGGGAGAGATTCTCTATGTTACTTTTAGTGCACAAAAACTGATAGGATTATTGATATTTTGCTGTCCATAACCCTAACACCCCCTAACCAGTCAAACTTAAAGGTGTTTGAATTCGTGGAATTAGGTTCTGGGAACTTGCTATAATATGGAGTTGGATTTTGACCTTATAGGTACTGTGGGCCTGCACATACCCTGTTGAGTTTTGACTCAACGGGTACGGTGGCCCTCTCACTTTTTACCATCAAGAATTTCAAATGAGTACTGTATTTTTAAAGATTATGTAATGATAGAAAGCTTCCCACTGAAATGATAAGTATGTAATATGTAAAAAATTATCATAAGAAGGACAATCTTCCTTGTTTCTGACCACAATGATCCCAGCAGCCGGGGATGGATATGCAACATGATGGTGTGTGAGTTTGTTTGAATAGGTACTGCCTGTCAATACTCTTTGTACTGTGCAACGGGCCTGCTGTATCCAATCAAACAAAATCACACAGATATCCCTGTTGGACTCTGGATGATTGGGTACTGTTGCAGCAAGAGTACTGTTGGCGTCTGTGTGATTGGGTACTTTTGCAGCAAGAGTACTGTTGGCGTCTGTGTGATTGGGTACTGTAAGTTAGGAGTTTTGATTTCAAGGTGTTGGAGTTTGGTTTGGGACAGATACCAACAGCAGCCCTTGGACATTTAGGGTTAATGTCCTCTTAGGCAATTCAAGATTGTATACATGTACGAGCATGGTAACAAGCCACAAATGTTTTACAGGGTTCCTGCACCTACATGTACAGTAAAGGACAATTAAATTCCAGGACTTTTCCAAGACTTTTCCATGACCAAATTATAAAAGTCCACGACCTAATAATGCAATTTCTTGAACTATTCAGACTTTTAAAGTTGCAAATAAAAATGCATTTATTTCTGACAATAGAAATCATACAGTGTTTGAACAATTCCATGACTTTTCCATGAGTTTATTCATATTTTCCAAACTTCCCTGCCTTTTCGAGGCCTGGAAAATGAAAACAACTTCCCATGACTTTTTTATGACTTTCCAGGCTGCAGGAACCCTGTATCAATGTGCAAATGTTGGGTTCTCAATGTGTACAGAAAAGCACAAGGCGAACAGCACCCTCCCTCAAAGACCAGTAAAATATGGGCATTTTTAAATGTGCAACCAAAAAAATTCATTTTTGTTCAACACAATCAAGTGCAAACGGATGTCAAGGACCGGTAATTTTCACATTCGGCAAGCGCTAGTCTTTTTTTCCACTCCCTACCTGTACGGCTCAATTTTGATGGAGACAATACGAGCAAACTCTGGGTTCTCAGCCATGGTGTGATACGTGATGGTGAAGTTGATGTGGTTGAACAAATAGTAGGTATCTTTCTGGTCGAAGCTGGCCTGCAACACGTACATCAAACAAATGATAGATGGGTCAGGGTCTGCTAAGAAACAGGGGTTGACCCATTTGTGACAATACGGTCACGGATAGTGTTAATCTTGAACTGCTATAAAAAGACAACCTTTGTAGCATTTCATCAGACACTTTGATTTGTCTGTATGTCGTTCATAGATGATCTTCTTACTGAGAAAACTGAATGTCTAGATTTAATGTGACACTGCGACTTATGTGGACATGAAACGATTCAAGTAGACACACATATCAACCACTTCCTGCCGGGGGATTCCGGATCCGGACACGTATGCTTTGTATTCGTGGCCGGGGTCTCCGAACTCGGACAAAAGGAACAGGGCCTTGTAACAAAAGACTGTACTCAGAACAAAAGACCAGGCTGCTGGGCATTACCGATATTTTTTCACTCTCAACGGTGGAGATAATCCAGCCTTATTTTGAAACAGTATACCATGGTTTGCGGAATAGAGCGAGCAGATTGCCATTGGGGACAAAAGCGCTCCACCACCGCAGCGATGAGCCACACAGCACCGCTGCATGCTAATCTGGCCCCTATTGAAAAGAGGTCAGCGGCACACTGAGCCAGGTTTGTGAACAAAAGTAACTTACATAACACCGCACAATCTTGTCTCTTTTTTGCAGGCTTGGCTGAATACATGTACTCAGGCATCAATTGATTTTGTCTGTCAGACTAGAGTCCTTCAGTCTTCACGTGTTTGTAAGTGTCCAGTGAATGAAGATAGGAATTTTTAAAGAATTTTGAAAACAGACAAAAATTATAATTATCCCGGACCAGCATCATCAACATTGATAACTGCCCCCAGCAGCAAGTGGTTAACTCTTGCTGCCAGGTGTAATTTGAAGTTGCATGACATAAAACCAGGAGATTTTCAAGATTTTCCATTTTCAAAATTCTTTAAAAAATCGTGACTTGATTTACTGGATGTTTACACCCACAGGAACGACTGTTCGGTGGCTACTCTAATCTAACAGACAACATCTATTGATGTCAAAGTATTTCAGCCAGGCCTGCCGCCTTGTAAAAAGAGCCCAGATTGTGCGGTGTTATATATACATGTACATATAAGTTTTTTTTATTCCCCAAACTGGTACAGTGCGCGGCTGGTGTCTTTTCAATAGGGGCCAGATTAGCGTGCAGCAGTATTGTATCGTTTATCACTGGAGCACTCGAACACCTTTGCTCCCGGTGGTAATCCGCTCACAAACATTTTTATAATCTTTCAAAACAATGATGGATTTCCTCCTCTATTGACAACTGAACAAATGTTAGCAATTACCAGCAGCTCAGCCTTTTGTTCCGATTACAGTCTTCTGTTACAAGGCCTAGCTCTTTTGTCCGGTTTCAGACTCCCCGGCTTCATGTATAAAGCCTGTTTGCCTGAAACCGGGCTCCTCAGCAGAAGGTGGTTAAGGGTATTCAAATTTAGATTACAGTCATTTAAACACCATCACCATCGGGTAGTTAAAATTGTTCTGTATTCTTTATATTCACTTGAGGAAAGTACCGCCTCATATTTTTTGATAGAGTTAGCACAGTTTGAGGTGATCTTCTATGCTAGTCAGAATCCTTTGAAGCCTTCCGTGTGCTTCACATTGACTAAGAGGTCTGATAATTCTACAAACGGAAATGTTTGAAATGTTCAAACCCTTTGAAAACCCTTCAGTGTTAGGGTTTCAAAGGGTGAAATTGACGCTGTCAACAATTTACAGCTCGGAGTACATGTACATGTAGATGGGCTTTTGATCATGGATACTCACATCGATAACGCAGGCATCTTTGTGCACGCCCTGCTTGTCAACATAGCAACCGACCGGGAACCCTGGGGAGCAATACTTCTGGTCTCCCTCCACTTGATAGCACCAGGTCACCGGCATGTTGTCAATAATCCTAAAAACAAGCAATAAGCAAATCAACTTTTACCACCTTTGAAAAATGCTTACAGCCACTGTGACATACTGTATATGACTGCATGTAGAGAGGCTGATAAAAAAAATCACATTGCATACATACACATGTGTGTAGGTGCTAGATGTAAACGACCGAACACATTGCACAGTATTCAACGGCCATGCACCGGTACAACGCACTCAAGCCGATGTCCCATAAAATCTTTACCCTCATCATGCTCGTACTCGTAGTCCATTCATGGACACTGCCTACTGCATGCAAATCTACATATGTAAAGATGCCTCAAAGTGCAATCTGACGCTTCTTGTGTGAGGAGCACAATGATACGCTACACCATTCACTATGTTCAAAGCGCTTGCAGCATCGACCCCATTCCTTCATCAACGTGGCAGTTGTGGCAGTATATGATGAAAGCACCTGCGACAGGAACGATATTACTCATGTGACGTCGTGTCACAAGGGGAATTGGGCGACACTTCGGTTTTCACTTCGACACTAGTCCCCATCACCTATTCACTTTAAGATACTACATGTACATGTACATGTAGTTGACAGGGCCATCGCGGAACCAGTCTATGTGTAATGTGCGCCATGTGCTGCAACCTGGTATGACAGAAAAACTACAATCAAAGGTTCTTTTTTAAGCCAATCATGTCAGCGGGCAGCGGGGAGGAAAAGCCAAAAGTAATTGAAAAGGCCACCTTTGAAGTAAAGTCACATGTGGAGTTATCTCAAGTCAAATTTCACTGAAGTTCAACTACATTTTACCACAAGTGTGACTTTTTCAGAACAAGTCATGTACAACTGGCTGTCTGCCCGGTTAACTCTTCTTTTAGTTTACAAGTACCCCAGTATTATATGTACTACATGTGTATTTTATTATGTCAACGTTTTGTCCTACTTCGTATTTACTTGTTTATTTTTTGTTAGCGTCATTTGTTTCAACTGTTCTCAGATGGTTACTAGATCCAAGAATTTACTCTACCGGTACACATACATGTATGTCAATATAATCATATTACATGGACATATATCTGGTTTACATAAAAGAAGCAGAATCATTGATTTTGCCAATGTGTTAATGTGCTCATATCAATGTGTTTGTGTCTGACATGTGGAGTGACTTATGCATGAGAAAAAGCAGTGGTCATTTAACAAAATTTTGCAAAAAGCCCACTGAATCAGTCTCATTTTGCCAGTAAAAGAAAGCAACTGAAAAGCTCAGGAAATGCTCCCGAATGCACAAGAGAGCATGTAAGGTTCAAAATTTCCGGGGCCATTAAGCAACCCTGAACCCCACGCCATGGCTTCGCAATTGTCAGTGAACCATGACAAATGCCCCACACATTTTGGAAAATCCTGGGGAGAACCCCGTTTACATGTATGTACATTACCAGTATGCCTATTATATTAACATTTGAGACAGTCCCCATACGTGTGTATGTACATGTACATTTACGGTAGCTGTATATGAATACAACAAAGCAGTTGTAAACAAATCAAGTGAACCGGAACATTTTTAACCATTCCTTATCCGCATCCATTGCCGCATTTCACTCCACTACAACTTCAATGCATCCTCTCCCATAGGGACTCAATGCACAGAAAATGTGCACAATGAACAGCGCCTCAGTAGGACTAATGATTGGGAAACCATTTGGCAAAGGAATGCAAGCAAAATTTCAGAACTTGAAAAGGCTAGCCTGTTTCAGTTCTCCACTTTTAAATGGGAATAATAGATTGAAAGATTCGCAAAATACTGGTACTTTTCAGAAATTAAACCTTAACCATTAACAGAGCATCGTACCAGAATAATTCTTAGGGGAAAATACTCAATGGAATTGACAAATATAACAGTTCTCTCAAAATGTACAGATTTCTTGGGATTTCACACAACCAAATTGCAAACATTGCAAAGCATTTTTACAATCCAACACTGCCACATTTCGACCGGTCACTTTTCTTGGGTCATCACGGAAAAAGTAATAATATGATCCCTTTATGTAAACGAGCATACACTGTGACAAATTTCATAAACGATAATTTCACATTTCAGAAAAGAAGGACATTGTATCAGGTTGATATAACCTTATTCAATCGATTTCTGACTAACCCACGTTGAAACAGCCACTCATGTGTACATGTACATGGAAATGAAAGCAGAGTTTTTTTAAAACTGACTATTAAAGGGCAAAACAATCACCCTTGCTGGATATACAAACTGAAATCCACTGAAAAAGCACAATGCAAATCCATGTATAAAGTACATGTACATGAGCAGCTTTGTACAGCACAATTTTGCACATCATAATGTGTACACACTTTACATACATGTACATGTCCATGTCTGCATGCACATGTAGATACATGTACATGTATGTACATGTACATTTCAAAAACGTGGAGGCTACATGTACATGTACACCGTACACGTGTACACTTTCCAGAGGATCACCTGTATGAAATCGCCTGATCAATACTTCAAAAGCATGTATTTATTCTTAAAGGCACACAGATGTTTGTGCACAACAGGTGGTGAAATGGCAAAATGGCTCTTAATGCTGGACTGCTTGGCCTGAACGTGTACTGGTACATGTACACTGTACCTACATGTATGACATACCGGGTTTGTAATGCATACGGTAGAAAGTGTACATGTACTTGCATGTGCATGTACATGTACATGTACATATACACACGAGTGCTTGCGCACTGCACCATCATGGAAGGAAAGCTACTGTTTGCGTGTGATTTGAATGAATAGACACTTTGTACTTTCATAATCATTCAATTCACATTGTGAAAGCACCCTATACGTGTAGCAGAGAAAAACTTCATAATCTGCTTCCTAACAGCACAACATCTACATGTACATAAATTTCGTGGCTGCAAAACCCAAGTCTGAATTAAACAGAATAGCGTACCGGGAATGTTCTGCTAGTGCTACATGTACCGCAGGAAGCAAGGCTTGTCAAGCTAAAAGGTTTCTGCAGGCCTTAACCACAACATTTTGACTGACAAAGTCAGTTTTACTCGCAAAGAACCAATGCTGCCCTGGTCTGTGGGTACTGGATTACCTACATGTACATGTACATGTAGCATGTAAAGATGGCCATGTAGACTGGCCACGGTGTGCATCCATGTGGGCAGATACAAAATCAGTGAATCAGAAGCAGTGGATTTGGGCCTTAAAATAAATTCAGGAAAATGCAAAATACAAACAAGAACAAAAGTTCAGCTTTCGAGGCTTTACTTGAAAAATCGTCAGGGGTTTGATCATTTCAATGTTTGCACGGTGTAATGAAAATCTTAACAGCACATTAGCAGACACAGTGATGGCTATGTCAGACGTGTTTTCTCGGATTTCGCTCGATGTGAAGGGCATCACAGCCAACTTGGCCATTCGGAGGGCACTGAGTATCGCAGCAATGCCCACTCATGGGCACTGTTAGGGAGAAGGCCTGTCTCTGTGTGTGATGGAATGATCCTGCATACAAATGTTCTGCTACACCACATGTACCCAGCTTCTGAAATATTCCCCAATGTCTACTGAACTTTTTTAATTGCATTTTACGTGTTCGTATTTTCTTTGTTCTATACTGAAAAATTAATCACTTAATGCAATACAAGGACAACATGCAATTGTACATGTACACAGGTTAAAAAGGGAACCTCAGGGTACACACAGACGCGACCCTGCATACTGTACGTGTACATATGGCTATTTTGTCTGAATTTGCCCCTTACTTCCACGTGGGTGATACTCACCAGTGCTGCTGGTAGTTCAGCAGGATGGCCTTCCGGAGGAAGTTCAACTTGTCCACTTGCTCCTTGACCTTGGGGTAATACGTCTTCTCACACACCGTTATGCAATCGTTGGATTCGCCGAAGGTGAAATTGTATGGTGATTGATCAATGCGCTCCCCGAAAACCACCTGGCCCAGGTTCTCGGCGGGACGCACGTCTGCCAATTTTGGCACCTGGCAGAAATCAAATCTGAAAGTGGAAAATAAACGCACTCATGTACATACTAACCCTTCTCACTCAATTTTCATGAATGATTACGTGTGACACACGTAATGAGTATGACCTCTGATTTTTTGTTTTTCTGAAACTGCCTTTACACTGTACAAAAGGACTATTACATGTACCGGTACATGTAGTTGCTCTCCATCAAGACCAGCCATTTGTGGACTGGGAAGGATACACATATTCACAGACAAGTAAATCAATGTTTATTACCCAGTCTGTGTCTCAACAAAACTATTCCACTGAACAATGAGATTTTTAAAATAAATCTGTGAATGCGACTGCATTCTTATACAAAGAGGGCAGGGTTTTCTGAAGTGCAGAACCATAACTTTACAAGGCACAATGTAAGTTTTACATAAGATGCATGTACGTGTATAAAATTTGCAGCTTTAAGTTGTGCTTATCCTTAATTTGCTGAGGCTAGGCGAAAAACTCTGCAAATGCAGTCAAAACTCATGATTAAAAGAAATTTACCTGTCATACTCGAAAGGGATGACACTCTCTACCGTGTCCAGCCGATTGACGTACATCTCAATTAAGCTCTAATAGGCAAAAATGAGGACATGACAATAGTTCTAATTAATCTGAATGACATTGACCATCAACAGGGTCGCAGCTAGAAACATTGACCAGCACTGGTGTAGTATCAGTGGTACAAAATTCAGCAGCGCATGCATGTGGACTGAGTAACAACATGTATGTATGTCCATGTTTTTCGGTGAAAAAATTACTACTGTCCAGTGTTTTCTGAGGAATTTTTCCACTGTAAAAACTTCTAAACTGCCATTTACGCCCGCACAAGTGTCGCTACAAATAAATTTTGAATGGGAACTTTTGCAATCAGATGGCTGGGCCAGTTGTAGGTCACCCCATCCTATTACCGCTTTGCCCCTAATGATCACTTCGCCAATCACCCCATCTGCACTTCCACTTTGTCATTTAGAACAAAAGACCTTACCATCATTATTGGAATCTCTGATTTTCCCTTAAAAGTGAAGCCGAATTATAAATGTTTCGTCCTAGTATCAGCTCGACAAGAGGGAGCATTTGACTTTACACAGCTTGTTTAGTAAAAGTAGGAACCTATGAATGATCAATAGGGTGGTAGGCCTGGGTAAGCGTAGTCATGGGCATGGTTGGGGCGAAACGACATAAAGGAAAGTACATGTAGCTGGGGTGAACACGGTGAAGTAAAAACGGAGTAAGGGTTATGGTTTGGATTGAGCGCCATAATGTCCAGTAGCTGTGATCACTTCAAAACTGTACATCAGACACTGCGGCACTCAGGAATCAGTTGTCGGCAAGCATGTGCCAACACAGCATGCTTTTTGTTAATGGTTTGCAAGGCCGGCGCACTGTGACGTCATCTCCAGGACATTAATATACAGTTTACATCGCTGTTTGAACAAGATGGTGACTTTGAGCTCGACAACAGGAGCATTTCCAATTTGAAGTGGACATTTTCTCTTTCCTTTCCAAATGTGAGTAAACCTTACCATCATTATTGGAATCTCTGATTCTCCCTTAACCTAAGCTGAATGCATTACACAGTTTCAGGACCATGAATTTGGTGAATTTGGAAGATTTTGATTTGGGGTACGAGCTACACTGTATGGGGCAAGCGCGGACATCTGGGAGTTTCACAAAATTGCAGGTAGCAACGACACCGCTCCGATGAAAACAACTGCTACAAGTGCGCGTGTACTTACTGACCAAAGAAAACATGGTGTAACCTGAACCTCGGACTGGTTGGTACGTGTGTACATCGCCATGGTTCCTGTTTTCACCGGTGCGGTATCTACCATTTTGTGAGAATCCCAGATGTCTGTGCTGCCCCATTCTGAGCTACATGTACATGTACATGTATGTTGAGTAAATAAATTGATGGGATGGTAAGCTTATGGAAGCTACAATGTACATGTACTTGGACTCTACCATGACCATGACCAAATGTCCAAATGTTAAAAAAGCCATGTCCAAATGTTAAAAAAGGTGATTTGTAGTGTCCAAGTTACTCGGACTAGAACTAAATGATGTACATGTAGGCTAGCCCAGGTTGGACGTCGTCTACATTGCATTGCAACTAATGTCCAGGGTATAAACGTCCTCCTACAATGCAAATATTTTTTCAACATTTTTTTCTCACATTTTTATCCCAAATTCCATAAATGCTGTGTTGAAATTACTAAATTCCTCCACGGACAACATATTTTGGGGAAAAATTAGCACAACTCTCCATTTTCCATCGTGAACGACCTATGTTCGTCCAGTACACGTGCTTGCACATGCGCAAAATGTACAGTAACCGAACGCCCTTTATGCATGCACAGAAGAGCTGTGGGCATCAAGAAGTGGCAGACAAGGCCGTGTCCGAAATGGACTTCCAAAGCTATGGCTAGGTCTGTTGTCTGGGCATCTCCATGCATTTCCTATAGAGCGAAGATCTTTAACTGACAGAATGTGGGCCAAGCACAGAGGCCACTTCAAACATGTGCACATATGCTACCAGATGAACATAGATCATTCACAAATTTCGTACTGTTGGAGGACTTATATAACGTGGACGTTAGTCACAATGCAATGTAGACGGCGTCCAACCTAGGCTAATGTAGGCCTATCATTAGGCAGGTATCGGTCACTTGGCCCAATTTCCACTGCACATACATGTACACGATCACACGCATCGAAAAAACATCGATGTTGCAAGATTTCTTCATGTTAATTCTTAGTATTTTGTCCATGTGTGTGTTTTCTGTGTTGATCAGTTTAATTTTAGGTTGTTTTGCTCGTACTCGAAGCGAGCATGTTTCCACAAACTTCCTGCGCACTGAGCTTTATCCAATTGCTTGGGCACAACTGTCTGGAGGTAACGACAATTACCAGAACAATCAGTGACAATGTAAACCGAATTGTTTGTAAATGCATCGCTTTGAAATAAATCCAATGCTAGTCCAAACATTTGTATTAATTCTCCGTACGGATAACGCATTCAACATAAATTTAGTGAATGCTGTAGAGTTTTTTATAATAACTACATGTAGGCCTACATGTACACGTCGTTTGTGGAACTCCTCTCTTGTCCATTTTGGAAGAGGCTTGTAACACACTCAATCACGGACGGCAAGGTGGAAATGGGGCGAAGTGGTGATGGGGCTAATTGGTTAGGGGTGACACTGTAATTAGGCCTAGACAATCAAATATGACAATGCATGTCTGATCATGACCACCATGACCACTGATGCTGACGTGGCTGATGACAATACATTACACTTAAAGAAATCAAAACGTGAATCAAAGGCCTACACTGTGCACTACACACCTTACACTGACTATCCAAAGCATTCTCTGAGGTTTTGTATCTACTTTCAACATCCTTTTTGCAAAAGCTGACGGGTGCCATGCCCGGGAGGTAGAAAGCAGAGGCCCACCCAGTAAGACCAACCAACATCACGGCAACGAAGAATCCACGCATCACGTATCCACCTGCTGAAGTTCCTGACATTTTAGACCTTTTTACTGAGACAAATGAAAAATATAACCGCAACTTGATGATAATGGACAGTGACTGAAATTTTGCGTGAAAAATCACATAAAAATATCTGCACGAAATACGCTATAGCTAATAGTATAGGCCTACACAGCATGTACCGGTACACTGGTGCAAGTTGAAAGTTACAACCTAGCCACGCTGGCAATAACGCAATGAACAGAGCGCTGGCGGTTACTCACTGTCCAGTGTATACCAAAACATGTACATGTACGATGCACGTTTTTACATGTACATGTACAGTACATGCACATCGCATGTACATGTACGTTGCGTCTTGCAACATGTACAGTGCATGTTTGTAGCTCGACGAAAGCGATGTACATCTCAGACGGTAGCTAGAAGGCGTTAAACAGCTGCGAAGCTTGTGGCAATTGAAAGTTTATAAATAACAATCATTAAAGAAAAATATCAGAAGTACTCCAGTTTCTTTCATATTGACGATACAATTTGATTCTAGTTATTTCTAGTTTTGTTAGATACATATATCCTTCCAATTATCGTTCTCTGTGCAAGTGGCAGACTAGACTGGAGACCTTTCCCTAAACCGGAGCGCTGTGATATGCTGCGCTGGCAAGTATGGTGTACTCTTTACTGTGGTGTTCTATTCCCGCCAAATTAGCGTGGCGTCGTGCCATCGCCCCAACGGCACGACGCGACGGCACGACGCGCTGGCACGGTGAGACATTAACAACAAATAGCACGACACGACGGCACAACGCGACGAAATTAGCTTAGCATGAACTCAATGAGAAAGGAGGCGAGGGCACGACGCGACGGCACGACGTCGTGCCGTCGCGTCGTGGCGTCGGAGGAACGGTACGACGCGACGCCAAAATGGCAGGAATAGAACACCATACATACCATTGTGCGTTGCGTCGTATGGTGTTCTATTCCCGTCGTGCCGTCGCCTCCTTTCTCATTGAGTTCATGCTAAGCTAATTTCGTCGCGTCGTGCCGTCGCGTCGTGTCGTTGGGGCGATGGCACGACGCGACGCTAATTTGGCGGAAATAGAACACCATACGATGGTACGACGCGACGGGTGACGGAAGGGCGACGTTTAGGCGGGAAAAATGAAACATGGAAAATACCTGAGACAACACGACGCGACGGGCGACGACACGACGTGACGCGACGCGTCGTGTGTGTACAAACGTAATGGCAAGAAGGCAACGGTTCGACCCGACGGCACGACGCAAGGGAGCCGTCGTGCCGTCGCGTCGCCCAGTGGTTGCGTCGCCTGGAGGGAGGCAAGGGAGAGAGAGAAATGTCTGTCGTAAATAGTACACCATACCATAGCGTCGTACGTTGTGTCGTGCATCGCGTCGCCTATTACGTCGCCTGAAGCACGACGCGACGCACGACACGACACACGACGTACGCGACGCGTCGTGTGCTGTCGCCCTTTGCTTCATGGTGTTTATTGAGGGCGCTTTTACTGTTTTCTTTCATTTCTGTCCCCGTGGTTGCAAAGTACATGTAATTTACTCTTTAGTGTTGATTTGTTCTTGTTTTTATCTCATCCATTCCTCGATTACGAATAATTTCTGTCATGTTTTATTAAGAAAAAGAAAAAACAGCAAAAAGAAAATCGGCATATGTAGCAACTGCCCTCATATATATGCGGAAGCCTAAAATTCGTCACTCTTTAAACCCAGCCAATGATTTCTTTTTAATACCGTCGATGCAGTTCCCATTTGTGGTAGATTTGTAATCTTATAGATACCGGTTTTCCCCGTGGTCCATCCCGGTAATTTCTAAGTAGTACTTCCAATTCCCCAGACAAATTGTCTACAACCGTATGACCGCAAGTTTGACCACGGGTTTAAGATGTTACAACCGAGCCTGCTCTATAATACCCTCAGATTATTCCGCTTTAGTCTTCCTTCAGGTCAGTCAACCTCGTTACCTTCATCAGCACCACACTTTCAATGATGTTAGTCGATGTTTCTAGATAAAACATTATACAGATGCTATTATCGTTGTGGCCGTGTCTTTTTTTCAACTCTGTTTGGCCGCACACATGTATAATTTCTCCTCTGACCCGCATCTTACATTAGCAAGCACGTTATAATGAGTGATTTATTGTATCTTAGAACAGGTTTTGAAACATTGTAGCGGACATAATAAGAGGATCATGACACCTGCTTACATTATTTATTTGTTTAGTAGTTTACGCCTTTTATTATCAGCTAACCACTGAGAATTAATTCGTTTCCGGCTATTATAGTGAACAGTTTTCGCACGGTGTACGAAAATACAAATACCCTCACGTTAGAGAAAGCATCTTTTTGATAATGAGAAAAAAACAGAAAAACATTGTGAAATAGCAATGAAAATAAATAAAGGGCGTCGCTAGAAGACGATCTATTGAAGTTGGGGACGACTTGGCTTGTCTTGACTTGGCAAGTAGCTGTAGAGTTTGCAGTAGAAAGCTAAGGCTTGCAGTAAACAGAGCTCGAATGGATGGCGAAGATGTGTGGGCTAGGACTATATGATGTTTAGGGTTCAAGTACACAGTCTTTCCTTCCCTTTGACTAAATCAGGTTTCGGAACGGAATTCATGTGGCTCTGGTCCAAGCCACCCACTGTCCAGCAACGTATGCATGTGTGGTTCAATAGGCTTGCACTGGTAATGTTTTTGCCTAGAGCAGGACAGGGACGAATTTGCAAGTATGGCAGGTTCGATAGAGGGAGAAATCACAGAGAGACAACAGAACAGTTCTGTTAATTAAGTCCAGTACCCAAGTGAAGTGGAAGGTCACTGGCTAGGGAAATTATCAGCTCCTTCTCAAGGACTCTTGTTGCAAGTTCTGCTACCAACTGCCCACACACACTGTCAAGCAACCCACACAAATTGTATGACCTAATTCTGGGGGAGTTAGGATTTCCAAAAGTAGGGAAACAAAATCAATTCTATTACATAAGTATTAGGAAGATCAAAACTAGAGCAGGAAAAGTTAAAACAACGTTGTGGCTCATGTTATTTATTTCCTGGAGACAAGGCTGATAGTTGGTAGTGACGCTCTTTCTAATTACATTTGATTAGAAAAACAAACAAACCTTTTTCTTCAACAACTCACTCTTAATGAAAACACAAAGTTAGAAAGTAACCTTGAAAAAGAACAATAACAGAAACAAGACCTGCTACCCTTTCGCTCTAATTGTACGCTACCGCCATAGGCATGCAGAGCCTCGATCTGGCAGCTTTTTTCGTGTATGTTGGTGAGTAATTTTGGGCATGATGTTGTTAGTTCTTCTGTCATCAATACTATACGATTGGACACTATACGATATTTCAACAGCTGTCAGTTCAAGGCTCTGCATGCCCATGGCGGCACTGTACAAAGAGCGAATACCATGTACTAGGTGAATGCAATCCACTATTTAAGTGACAATTTCTGGTCAGCTCATTAGCATTAAAGGTAGCAGCCCAGCATTTTTCTGAAAAAAAGGGGGATTGTTAGCATTAAAAGTAGCAGCCCAGCATTTTTCTGAAAAAAAGGGATTGTTTGGCCCCTGAAATGGTGAAAATGTGTAAATCGTTGCCAGGATAAACTGCCTAGGTCCTTGAGCTATCCTATGAGAGCAGAATGGCTAAAAACTACAGCTGAAAAATGGTCCTCAGTGCCCAAGAAGGTTGAGGGTTTCCACTTGAAAAATTACTGCAATCAGACTTCGGGAAAATTACTTTTCGAGGGCTGATTTTGTTTAGTGGGAATAATTAAAAATGTAATTGGGTAACCCACAAATTTAAAAAAATTGAAAGGAAATCGAAAGATTAGGGACCAGACATTAATTTCATTTGTGTTTCAGCAATCTCAAGGAAGTTGGTATCCTTGTTATTGGGCCCCGAACAGTGCCGATTTTACACTCTTTTCAATGGATCTTAAATTAGTGGACTGTACCGTACTATGCAAGTACGGGGGCGAAAATGAAAAAAAAAAAAAAAAACAGTAAAGGCGCCCTCTATGAACACCAAGAAGCAAAGGGCGACACGACAAACGACGACGGTCTCGTCGTGCGTCATGTCGTGCGTTGCATCGTGCTTCAGTCGACGTAACAGGCGACGCGATGCACTACACAACGTACGACGCGACGCACGACGGTACGACGCGACGGGCAAGGGAAGGGGCAACGTTTAGGTGTCAATAAATGCAACATGGAAAGGACCTAAGGCAGCAAGACGCGACGGGCGACGGGCGACGGCACGACGCGACACACGACGCAAGGGAGCCGTCATGCCGTCGCGTCGTCTGGTTGCGTCGCCTGGAGGGAGGCAAGAGAGTGAGAGAAATGTTTACGGTAAATAGTACACCATATGATCAATAGAGGGCGTTTTTTTCCCTACGGAGGTTCCTTTGGTTGGGACTGAACTTCGGTGAGTTACGAACGAGTAGGAAATGCACGTGTCACGGTTGCATCGCTGGCAACAAAATAAACACTCCCGACGAACGTGGCTCTAGCTTTTCAACAGATGAGGGGCACTTTTGCTCAGGGCGGATAGCCACGCTATATTTTTTTATTGGCCTTGCGCTAGAACATAAGTCCTACCTAAAATAGTACAGTAAAACCATGCACAAGGGCCGCCCTGCCCTATGACCTATACTGATTGAATTTTTTTATTTTTAGTGAACAACAAACCTCACAGTGGAAGCCACGACTCTCACAAGTCTGCAGCCTCTGGTGATGGTTGTTTGAAATGCTAGAGTTTATTACCTTGTCTCTCAGCTGTGAATTCAGTGGCGTATCAAAACAGGGGTGGGGGAGTCTCCTCAAACAGATTTTAAAAAAATAATGCTTCATGGGTGAAGTAAGTAATGGACATAATCAAAATAGCACCAAAACCCTACAAAAACAACATCATTTGATGTCCCCCCTCCCCATCTTAATCAATGAGCCTGAAACTGCATGAGTCGCTTTTGAATTCCCCCCCCCCACACACACACACACCCCAAAGCTGGGTACACTGCTGTGTGCATTCATTTTTTCGGGAATCTTATTTGCGCAAGAACTGGGCCTACATAACCTAGGTAGTTGGGTACGTCGTATCAGTGCTATCTTGATTAGGTGATATTTGTTCCATACGTCTTCCACTGCTTTTTTTTTCAAATCGGAGCTGGCTAAAGGCTGCAGCTAGTTCATCTTCCTAGTGGACCGGTCCTCTCTTCTCCTCCTCACCCCCTCCACA